TATTACTAAAACTAGTAAACTAAGGATAAACTATTTAAGGTAAACTATTAAATAAGGATAAACACTTCCATAAAAAGATCATAAAAAATTCAGGAACCCCTAAAAAGCTAAAATTTCAAATAAAGTGCGTTTTACTCATTTAAAGGACCAAACTTTTATTAAGATTAAGCATCTTAGATAAAAATATTTCTACCTTCTTAAACATAAAACACAGTGTAACAATAAAAAGAGCTTATATTGATTAAATTTACTGATACTACGTTTTACATACACTTAGTATTTAGTCTTCACCAAAGAAAACCCTGAGGTAATACTATTAATGGCCCCATTTTAAAAGTATGTAACAGAAAACAGAGAGGTTAATTTATTTGCCCACAAGGTACTAAATGATGGCATCATGATTCAAATGCAGCAGTCTACTTCTCTGTTTTGATATAGTTATTCATTCATTCAAGCACTTATTCTCAATTTTTAAAAATGTGTCAAGGAACTTAATAAAGATCTCACCAAACAAGATATATGGATGGCAAATAAGCATAGAAAAGATGCCTCATGTCATTCCTGAGCAGGGAAATGCAAACTAAAACAATGAGATACCACTACACACCTGAAACGATGGCCAAAATCTGGAACACCGACAAGACCAAATTCAGGTAAGGATGTGGAGCAACTGATACTCCCATTTGTTGCCATGGGAATGCAAAATGTTACGGTGTGTTTGCTTATAAAACTAAATACACTCTTGTAATATAATTCAGCATTCGTGCTACTTGGTATTTACCCAAAGGAGTTGAAAACTGTATGGTCACACAAAAACCTGCACACAAATGTTTATAGCAGCTTTATCATAATTTCCAAAACTTGGAGACAACTAAGATGTCCTACAATAGGTGAATGCATAAATAAACTGTGATATACCCACGCAGTGGAATATTATTTAGCACTTAAAAGAAATGAGCTATCAAGACATGAAAAGTCAGGGAGGAATCTTAAATGCATATTGCTAAGTGAATGAAAGCAATCTAAGGAGGCTATATACTCTGTAATTCCAACTATAAGACATCCTGGAAAATCAAAACTATGGAGACTCTAAAAAAAATCAGTGGTTGCCAGGGGCTGGTAGGGATGGGAGGGTGAAAGAATGAACCAGCAGAGCCCAGAGGATTTTTAGGGCAGTGAAAATACTATGCATGACATTATGATGGATATATCATTATTCATGTGTCCAAGCCTTCATATTATACAGCATTAAGAATGAACACTAGCCCTGGCTGGTGTGGCTCAGTGGACTGAGTGCTGGCCTGCAAACCAAAGGGTCACCAATTAGACTCCCAGTCAAGGACACATGTGTGGATTGTGGGCCAGGTCCCTGGTAGAGGGTGCATAAGAGGCAACCACACATTGGCGTTTCTCTCCCTCTCTCCCTCCCTTCCCTTCTTTCTAAAAATAAATAAATAAAATATCTATTTAAAAAAAAAAATGAAGCCTAACCCTGGCCAGGTGACTCAGTTGGTTGGAACATTGTCCTCACACACTAATGTTGTGGGTTCAATCCCTAGTCAGGGCACATATAAGAATCAACCAACAAATACATGTAATAAGTGGGGCAACAATTCAATGTTCCTCTCACACTTCCTCTGTCTCTCACTTAAGTCAATAAAAAAAAATTTTTAAAAAAAGGAATGAACCCTATGGCACACTACAGATCTGGAGTGATTATGATGTGTCAATGTAGGTTCATCCTTGGTAAAAAGTGTACCAATGTGGTGAGTGATATTAATAATAGAAGAGGTTACCCATGTTTGGGGGCAAGGAATATGAGAAATTTCTGTAGCCTTCTCTCAGTTTACTGTAAAGCAAATACCAAAAATATTAATAAAAATATTTTTAATTTAAAGAAAAATCAGCTTTCAAAAACTTTACCAAAATATAAATTTCACTATCCTGGGTTTTTTTAAAGAAAAAGAAAAGAAACTAAGGAAAGATCCCATGTCAGTGGTAATATGAACTGGCCTTCAGCCGCATTTCCAGACTCAGTTATACTGTGTCACTTCTTGACATCATGAAAAGATCAACCTGTCAACTTGTCAGGCACCCTACAGAAGGTATATCATCAGTCTTATGGCAATGAGTCTGTGCTTATCTCTGAGAGTTTCTTCATTTTGCTGGAATTTAAATTCCTAAGCCAAAATAGTGACATTGATAATGTTTTTGATACATAGCCTTCAGTTGTTTTCAACAGATGTACCTATTAACACACACTAAAAAAATTTACTGACTACCTGTTTTTAACAAAACACTGTTGAAAAATGACAATAGGGCAGTGAACAAGTTAACTTTATTCATGAAGCTCACCTCAATCAGAAGTTGAAAAACAAAGAAGAAAACAAGATATTTAGACTGTATAAATTCTAAAGGAAATGAAAAAGGGGTGTGACAGAATAACTGGGAAGGGTCCTCCTTCCATGATGCTGGTTTGCAGTTTTGTTTTCAGTTTGTTCCCAAAGACAAGACGTCTAGGCAGCCTGGCTGGGGACCAGAGGAGGATCAAGAAGTAGAGGAAAAACAGACCACTCCTAGTGAAGATGATCAGAACAGTGGCAAGGAGAATCCCTAGTTTCATCACTGAAACTGGCTTAGAAAAAGTTAGTGACTTGACCAAGGTCTCAAGCTGGGACCGAAAGAATAGCTATGATTTCAGAAGGCAGGCTGCCTTTGGGGTGAAGGAAAGACCGTAAGTCCAGCAAGAGAATAAAGCTGAACTCAGAACAGGTGCCCTGATTATGGGACTATCACCCTGCAAACAATGGCATAACTATCTGTATGGGTGAATGGTAAGCATAATCAGACTGTGATATGCTAGAGAAAAGTAACTGTTATAGAAAAGGTTTGGTTTGGTGGTTGTGTGTTTGCACAGTGGGGAACTAGAGTAGGGAAACACATTAAGAGACCACTACAACCGACTTGGTGAAAAATTTTAAAAACTGACCCTAGGAGGGTAACAGTAAGAAAGAAGAGAGATAGTGTAAAAGCAACTTGGATATGTTTGACTACAGATGTAGCAATGGTATCAGAAATATACCTGCAGAACCCAACATAACTCCAACCCTATAATACTGAATAAACCCTGCATGTTTTCACAAACAAGTTGGAATTTTTCAACAAACCGCCATGAGCCAGTGTTCTTTGTACTGAATACTATCATGCCTAAGAGAGTATTACCTGTGCTTGATGAATATGGTTTCATAGTATCATTTTAAAATCAACATGTAAGTGTCTGTACATATTATATCATATAGCATTACAATTCCCACCACATTATTCTACTGAAACATAACGTAAACCACATTATTCTATTCAAAATTTCCAAGAGGAAACTGGGGTTTTCTTGTTTTAAGTCCAGGTCCTGTATAGGCCTCAACCATTGAGAATTTGAAAATTATTTTAAAGAAACAAAAGGACTCATACCAGGTTTAGTATGTTGAGTAGTCCCACTGCTATTTTTAGAGTGAACAAAACTTCTCAACTTTTTCTAAATGATTCTAACAAAGCCAAGGATCATATCCTATCTAAAAACAAGACCTATACAACACAGACAGCTAGGCTCTCTTACAATGGCTTATCAACAAGTGTTTTGACTTGTGGATTTTATTTATATGTTTATTTTGTATGCATCTTTATGTATATATATTTAAAATATATTTGTATTTATTGCTCTTAAGTATTTTTCATTCCATTCATTGATATTTTTACATATGGCACTATTATATCGTACTAGCAGCCTTTAAAAATACGTGTTAGATTTTACCAGCATTTCATATTCACTGGATAATTTGGTGTTCAGAACTACCTTATCAAATATGTAAGTAAAATATTTTCCCCTCTGTACAATGGTGAAATTGGAGCTCTGAAAGGTTAGGTAACTTGACTAGTTCAAGATCACACAGTAATTTCAAGGACCTGGTCTTCAGACTCTCCGTTCATGCTCTGCTCCCCCCAGGACACTACCAATTTAATACGTGAATATTCATATGTCTATCTTCAACAAAGCCTCGCCACTGCGGCTCTGCCAAAATCCCGAGTGTCGAAATGCAGCCGGAACACTACTACTTTTCACGAGCACACATTTCAGTCAGGACCCCATTCAATTCTAGGTTTGCTCCACTGCACAAAACTTATTAAAATACACTACAGCCTTAAAGTATAACCCTTAAGGACACTGTCTTTTTCAGTGGGAAGTTCAATGAATGCAAAGGTGACTCATACAGTTAACTTATGGCTTTCTAAATTAATAACTTAGGATGACAAAGGAAAATAGTGAATTACACAGACCTCTCTCCATCATCACCCCCAAAGTTGCTTAAGTGTCAAAGCCAGATAGTTAAAACACGAGGACGGATGTGGAGCTGGAACCAGTATTCCTCCTCCCTGCGACTGCCGCCAACCTCAGGCAACCACTCCTCAAAGCCTAAAGGGTCTATTCCGACCCCAATCCCGCCGCGACCAGAGTGACTACCGGCCGCGAAGCCCCGGGCGACCCAACACAGGAGCTCTGCCGGGAGCTGCGGCAGCGGTAACGCGCTGGGCTAGGGCCGACCCCTTCTCGAGGCGTCCCCACCTGTCCCATAGCCCGCACACCTGGGAGCCCCTGCCCCAGCAGAATACGCGTGGCAGAACCGATCCCTAAATGCAGGTCCCCAGGGCGGCCCGGTGACCCCGGGCAAGTCCGCTTCCGCTTCCACCCCACACGGCCGCGACCGACCTCGACCGACCGCGCCCCCACCCCCGCAAGAGCCCCCAGTCCGGCAAGGCCCAGGATCGCCGGCTGCGGGAGGAAGAGCGGCGCAGCGAAACTGGGAGAGGAGGAAGAGCAGCAGGCGCGCCAGCCCGGGGAGGAGGAGGAGCGCGCCCTGACCCGCCGCAAGGGCTGGCAAAGAGGAAAGGGGAGAAGGTCCGCCGCCGCTGGCAGGGGCCCCACGGAGGCTCGAGCGGGCATCTACCTGCGAGCAGAAGTACGAGCCCTGGATGCCGAGCTTGATGCAGGTGGGACACTGGAGCTTGGCCTCGCTGCTACAGCCGTCCGTCTCACACACCCGGGTCTCCACGGCCGCCATGCTGCCTGGCTGCTGGAAGAGCGCCTCACCGAGGAAAAGGAGGAGGAAGGAGGGAGGAACGGCTGGGTGGGGGGAGGGCCGGAGAGGAGAGGGAGGCTGAGCCAGAGGCGGAGCTGGGCCCGCCAGGCCTTCAGACGGAAGGAAGACTAGGGCCCGGTCGGCCCCCACTACGCGGCGCGTCCCACCCCTTCCCTGCGCGTAGGTGGCATCCGGCCCAATGCCTTCGCTCCGCCCCCTCGGCCGCCAGCGCGCACGTGGGAGACTCGAAAGACTCTGGCTGAGAGCTACCCCGGCTGGCGGGTAACCTCCGTCTCCGCCCTCTGGGAGCGCGTCCGCCTAGCGCCTTGCGGTGGAGGCCAGGTGAGGCCCGCGAGAATAGGCCCACGTACCTCGCGGTCTCTCCTTGGCCACACACATTCCAAGTCGTCCCTTACTGACTGAATCCCAAGGACCTGAATGTCCCCCACGCTCCTAGGCGTTTGGAAAGTGCGCTCCACTCCTATGCAATAGCCCATCTGGCAGCTCCTTAGAAAAGGAAAAGAATGCCCTTTCTTAAAGTTCTATTTCTCACTGACTTCTCTGAGGTCGAAAGACCACCGCTCACTCACGATAGATTAGATGATAGATAGATAGATAGATAGATAGATAGATAGATAGATAGATAGATAGATAGATAGATAGATAGATAGATAGATAGATGATAGATAGATGGATAAATTTGAGCCAGACAGTTGTGTATGAGAGGTGGGCTGGGATTTGCAACCGCCCTCCTTCGCGTGGATATTTTTTCCAACCTAACTCCCTCCATTCGCAATCTACAATGCTAGTACTAGTTAAGATAGCAGCTACTAAATATTAAGTACAAAATTTAGTTATATTCTATATATAATGTTTTTGTATTAGCCTGGGTACTTGAAGACATAAATAGGGGAGAATTGTATTAATCATGAAATAGAGTTGCAAGGAGGGTTGGAGGTCATCTGATGCAAATCTGTTGCCTAAATCCTTTCAACTATATCCCACATCTGCCATTTACTACTGACTTGTGCTTGAATACCTCTTGTTACTGGGGAAGAGAGAGGAACTAAAATTTATTGGTTAATAAAATTCATATTAACAGCTCACTTTTATTTTAAATAACTGTTCTGCAATGTAAGCAGTACAAATAATGTAATAAAATTTTGAATGTTATACACACATAAGCAAAAAGACATCAACCACCAGATATATGTATATATATAATTTATATGTGAATATATGTACATAAAACATAACATGCAGAGTGTTTAGTAAACTACTTTCTTCTATTATTGTGAACTTCTTTTCTTGTCATTAAATATACTTTCACCACATGATTTTGCTGTGGGCATATCATTCTATTACAATAATAATTTACTGAACCAAACTCACTATAGACATTTAGGTTATTTTTAATTGTTATATATTACAAAGAAAGCTTCAGTGAATACCCTATTAGCTAGAACTCTGCATGCATCCTTATTTATGTATTTATTTATTTTAAAACCAGACTATTTATTGCTTGATTAACCACTGAAATCCTTAAGATGAATTGGATGCTGCAACAGCTGCCCTCTTGGGTTTAGGTATTGGTCCTTCACAGAATCCATGCCTGAATCCACAGTATACAACTTTTAGGTGCCTCACGGTATACACCAATCCCGGTGATGTTTTGTCCTTTAGCCTTGGGTCTCCCCTAGTTACGCTTCCAATTGAGCTTGGCCAGGTAGCCGGCTGCACTTTCTGCAGGTGGACTTCTGAAGGTGGTAGGCCCTGGAGCAACAGCATCACAGCTCAGTGTGTCCAGCTCAGCACATACATCATGTTGCAGCACTTGCCAAAAGATGTTCCACCGTCATCTGGCTTCTGTGGCCAAGACCAAAGAGAGCTGCATACATCCTGATTTACTTAGGATATATTCTTAAGAGTGAAACTAATGCATCAAAGGGCTGTCACTGTTTATTGTTTCTTATACAGGTTGTCAAAGTTTTCTTTTTAATTTTTTATTTTAAAATGTTTTATTTATTTATTTATTTTTAGGTAGACATGAAGAGGAAGAGAAAGGGAGGAAGAGAAACATCAATGTGTGGTTGCCTCTCATGCGTCCCTAACCAGGGACCTGGCCCGCAACCCAGGCATGTGCCCTGACTGGGAATTGAACCAGAGACACTTTGGTTTACAGGCCAGTGCTCAATCCATTGAGCCATACTAGCCAGGGCCAAAGTTTTCTTCATAAAGTGTATACATAGTTACACTCTGGTCAGAACTGCACTAGAGTTCTTATTTCCTGAGACTACTATTGCCAGTTACTATTTATTTTTAATGCTTGTAATTCTGATTAATGAAAATGGTGTTTTGTTTTTTTTTATTAAATTATAACAAGATGGCATTTTTCTCTTATTATTAGCATTTGTATTTTTTTTAATCCTTAACTGAGGACTTTTCTTTTCATTACTCTTAGAGAGGAAGGGAGAGAGAGAAGCCTCTAATACACACCTGACCAAGATACAACCTAAGTATGTGCCTTGACTGGGAATTGAACCCACAACCATTTGGTTATGTGGCGGTGATGCAACCAATTGAGCCACACCGGTAAATGCTATATTTCTTCTTTTATGGGTTTGCTTTTATTTGTTGAATTTTTTTTGCAGAGAAATACTAAAAATTTTTTTAAAGCCAAGACAAATTGGCTACAGTTCCATCAACTGAATACATCAATGTTTCATTCACCCTTGTTACCTTTAGTTCTTGACCACAGGCATATTCAATGTTTATATTTTTGCATTTCTTGATCTAAATTTTTATTGTATATATTCACATAAGATTATACCATGGGTTATTCTTAGATTTAGAAGTAATAAATCCTATTCCTTTTCTATATGGTAGCTCTTTATGTATTTGAGATTAACTGTCATACTTTATGGTGCATCATAAAGCATGTTTTATGATTTTTTAAATTTTTATTGACTTTTAGAGAGAAAGGAAATAAAAACATCAATGTGAGAGAAATATTGATTGCCTCTCATATGCACCCTGACTAAAGACCCAACCCACAATCTAGGCATGTGCCCTAACAGGGAATCAAATACATGACCTTTTGTTGTACTGGATGACATTTCAATCAACTGAGCCACACCGGCCAGGGTTATATAGCACATTTAGATCCCTTGAAATTCATCTTCACTTACTCTGAAGGAATTACAGTTTGTTGACCCCTGATGAGTTCTGTTCAGTACTGTGCTAATAAAATAGAGGAATAAGAATTTCTGAAAACTCTGGTCCAAAAGACCCTGCTGGGCACAAGGAGACTGGAGATGGTCTTGCCCCTCCTGGCAGTCTGCCTCTTGGGGCTGCTCTTCCTCACATCTTTAGGAAAGTGGTGCTCTGGGGCAGTTAAGAGCACAGATGCTGCATGAAAATAGGTAAACCTCTCTGCTTTCAATCCTGCTCCCTTAGTCATGTTTCCATGGGCAAATTGTTTAACCTCATTTTCCATATCTGAAAAATACAGATTAGAGTACCTACCTCATAGAGTTTTCTTGTACTCAAATTGGATAGAATTTGTGTAGTGCTTAAGAGCCCAGTAAGTAATATTATTAGTTAGCCTTGCCAGCAGCTTCTCCTTCTTTGGGTCCTCTTTACTCCCACATGACAAACTGATGAGTAAGATAAACTTCCTAAGACCACCTTTTTGACTGTTATGAAAATCATCCACATTTTTTTTGTTTAAGTATAAAAAAGTGACAAAACATAAGGGATTTTATAAATTATGTAATAGTCCCTATTTTATTCTCCTGAGACTTTAAGTCAAAGTCCCCATTGGACATCTAGTCACTATTTTCATTCCTGTAGGCAAAGTTCAGCCAACCCACTTCTAGGAGGAAGAATGGACTTCAATGTCTCAGATGAGAATTTGGAATTTCTAAAGAGTCCTTTGACCTGAAGACACTTGTTTCCCTGGGAAGACTTTTTACATAGGGAAAAGCACTTTGGAGATAGTGAGCACATACCCAAAGCTATCTATCCAACCACCCACTATACTGCTAGTACCCATTGACTAGTTCAAATTCAACATGACCAAAAAGGAACAACTATCTTATATTCACTCACTTTTGCCACGCTCTTTAAAATCTGCTTTTTCTCCTGAATTTCCTATCTTTCTTAGTGATACTTTCTGTCTACTCTTGTTTCCCTAGTTCAAAATTAGTCTACTACCTCTTCCTTATTGTCCCCCATAAAATTAATTGGTCCTATAGATCTGATCTTCTAAATATTTTTATGTGTTCTCTCTTTTCACATGGCTGCAGCTTTACTTTAGGCCATTTTAAGCCTTGCTTGGACTATTACTATAGCCACTTAACTGCTTCTAATCCACTGAATCTACCCTGACATCAAGCTGATTTTCTAAGAGACAAATCTGATTATGCCTTTCCCTGCTTAAAACCCTTCACTAATGCAGGGCCTGCAAAGATGGAGCCAAGAACAAAGAGGTGGCCAGAGCCTAAGCACTTGGAAACAAGCAATCAGGCTTAAGTTATTAGTCAGGGTTAAGAGGATCTGTGAGATACAGGGTCAAAACTAAAGAAAAAGTTAAAAAGATCACAGGCATGGTAAAGGGCAAATGAACAAGTAAGTACCTATATTAAGGATAATGAAAACCAAGTTTTTCTCTTTCTGGGAAAGAATATACAAGTATGGAAAGGATGAAGGCTGGAATTAATTATGTAGAATTGTATTGGAATTTGAAGTATTGATGTAAACTTAAGGTTTAGATAGATAAATAGGTAATATAGATGTGCATGTGTGTGTGTGTGTGTGTGTGCGTGCTCGTGTAAAGCTCTGACTACTAAGAGGGCCTAATGGCAGTGAGCACACCTAATCTCCAGATCTTGGTTTCTAAATACCATTCTCTACTAAAAGGAATCAGAGCTCTTTAGAGGATTAGTTCATTTCACTGCCAGAGAAGGAAAAGTACAAGATACATCTGGAGAATTTCACTGTACCAGAGCATAAGGTACAGCTCAAAAATGATGGAGACCATAGAAAGGACACAGTAGAATGAGAGTTGCAAGTTGGTGGCAGAGTAGGAGAATATTTTGTGTACCTCTTCCCAGAATCAAACTGGAAATAATATGTCCCCTACAGCAA